ATCAGGCGGGTGAGTTCACCTCCTACCGAATCGTTTTCACTTCTCTTCGTGACGAAGGCCCGGCGGATTCGGTCCAGTTCAGCGAGATTCAATTCTATGGAGAGGGCGAGGCCGGCGGCGAAGCCCCCAGTCTTGAGATCGTTAGTGGAGCCACTGGGGACGAGTTCATTCGCATCGCCGGGAGTTCCGCCTCAGGAAATGAGGTGACCAATTTCGCGACCCTGGGCGCCCATGCGTCGGTCAAGATCGTGATCTCCGCGGGGTCGAATAGCCTGTCGCTATTGGCGTCGGACCTAACGGTCACCACCGACGATGGGCAAGATCTCACGGTGTTTCTACCGAGTGTCAACCTGGCCGCCGGCGAGCAGTTGATCCTTTGGGTGGCATCGTCCGGTGGCACCTACTTCGGGTTGCCGGGGCAGACGGAGCCCGTCTTCACTTCGATCGCCCGTGAAGCCAACCTCAGCGTGCCTTTCATCGCAACCAAGCCCGGCTTTGTGATCGAAGAGGTTGGTTCCGACTACCGGTTGCCGGTCAACATCGCGTTCGTCCCCAACCCCGGCGCCGAGCCGGACGACCCGCTCTACTTCGTTACCGAGCTGTACGGCTCGATCCAAGTCGTGACGCGCGACGGGACGAAGCACGAGTTTGCGACGGGTCTCCTCGACTACAACCCGACCGGTCCCATCTCTGGATCGGGAGAGCAAGGACTGACGGGCATCGCCGTGATGCGCGACGAACTCAATCCAGAAATCTACCACCTGTTTGTTGGCATGCTCGCCGACAATGGTAGCCCCCCCGGCGGCCCAGTTCATTATCCCAAGGTTGAACGCCTCACGAGTGTCGCCGGCGGATTGGAGATCGACTCACGCACGGTGCTGCTGAACATGCAGCCGGAGACCCAGGGGCAGTCCCACCAGATATCAAACATCTCTATCGGTCCTGACGGCAAGCTCTATGTCCACAACGGCGATGGGTTTGACGCCTCGACCGCATTGAACCTCGATATGTACCGCGGCAAAGTGTTGCGGATGAATCTCGACGGCAGCGCGCCGTCGGACAACCCGTTCTATAACGCCGCCAATGGGATCAACGCGCGGGACTACATTTATGCGTATGGCTTCCGCAATCCGTTCGGCGGAGCCTGGCGCGCCTCGGACGGTCAGCACTACGAAGTAGAGAATGGCCCGAGCGTGGACCGGTTTGCCCGCGTCATTCGCGGCGCGAACTACGGTTGGGACGGATCGAACGCTTCAATGCAGGTTGGCGCGCTCTACAACTGGCAATTGGCGACGGCGCCCGTCAACGTGACCTTCGTTCAGCCTGAGACCTTTCGCGGCAGCCAGTTTCCAGCCAACATGCAGGACCACGCGTTCGTTAGCGAGTCCGGACCGACCTACGCGGGTGGCCCACAATCCAATGGCAAGCGGATCACCGAGTTCGTCATTGATTCGGAAGGCGTCCTCGTCGACGGCCCCGACGCCCTGATCGAGTACGTCGGCACGGGGCGATCGACCGTGGTGGGGCTCGCGGCCGGTCCGGACGGTCTCTATTTCACGGATCTCTACGAAGATAGCGGCGCCAACGGCGCTACTGCCGCGGGGGCTAAGGTCTACCGGGTAAGGTACGTGAATCCGATTGCCGGCGATTACGACATCGACGGCGACATCGATCAGAACGACTACACCGTATGGAAGGAGACGTACGGGTCCAACCTGCTGCTTGGGGCGGATGGAAACCGCGACGGCGTTGTCAACGCCGCCGACTACACGGTTTGGAGAGACGCCTTTGACGCCTTGAATGCGCCAATCGCGACGGCTGTTGCGGCATCGCCCTCGATCACAAGTATCGAGACGATCGACCCGTCAGGTCCGTCGGTCGTTGCTGGCGTCGCGCCGGAGCCAACCACCACTGAAGTCGGGGCAGACCCGCTAGCGCCTCTTGATGCCGCCATCAGCTCTCTGTTCGGCGGCGATGAAGTTGAGCCAACTCTTCTTCGCCCGCGCTACCGTGAACTGTTGGCAGCGAGCAACGCGTTGATCCGGGATCAATTGCTCTTGATGAGCAATATACAGTCCGTCGCGCCTGCTATGGAGTCTGACACTTCGCATGAGTCGCGACTTGAAGTAGCCGAGTCGGCTCCTGAATCGGAGTCTGAGGCTGCCCTGACAACAGCGTGGGGTGAGTTCGAATGAGCGTCTTGAACCATGAACCGAAGCAGGGCTTCTTGCTGGTTTTGTTCGCCATGCCTGTGTTGATTCTTTCAGCGAGTCTTGCCGACGCGCACATCGGGCGCCGCTTCTCGGTAGAGGTCGTTAACGGCAAACTCCAGGCACAAGGGGTAAACAACGGCGAATCCGATGGTGCGCCGCTCACACGACCCTACGTCAACGTTATCCACGACCACTGGAAAAATACGCCGGGGCTCGATCAAGCTTACGCCACCCTCCCCGAGTACGATGTCTCGCCTTCGGCCGCGACAGCACTACTCGGGCATAGCCTGTCTCTGGAGTTGATAGGGGTTACTCGTTGGCAATCGCCTCCGATGATGCCTGGTGCGAACACGGCGCCGACACTGACGCAGCTTGCGCCCGGGGATCTCATCACCGTTGAGGCCGCAATGGGGGTGGCCGACTCGATCGACTTCGGCACGGTGACGCTAATGGAAGCCGTTCCATTTGGCGGGGCAAGAGAGGTGGCGGTGCTCTACCAGATCAACTCACACCCCGCCGATGAGATTCACGTCTTGGAGTTTATTCTCTCGACCTCGTCGGCAGCGATCGAGCCAAGCAACACCATTTACGTGCTTCTCAGCCCCGACGGCGACAATCCGATGGCCAAGCTTCACCACGCATCGCTGTTCCTCGAAGGTTATCTAGCAACGATTCCCGAACCGACGGGCGCCTGCCTCGCGGTCGCGTCCGTAGGCGGCGCGCTACTAAGTCAGCGACGCAAGCGCCGTCGAGAGCTAAGCGATTTGAACGCAGTAGTCCTTTGGAATCGCTGGTGACCGTCGATGCTCTAGGACTCTAGGCCAACAGGCCGTCAACGGAAACGCGTCGCTGTGGTCGCGAGACAACGGCCAGGATTGCGACCGATCCGATCAGCAATGAACTCGGTTCCGGGACAGCTCCGATAGCCTTGGCGAATGCGCCGGCCCCGTTGGCCGAATCGAAAAGCTGCTGGAACAGGCGGAAGTCGTCGAAATCGTTGTCGCCGTCGCCGTCTAAGTCGCCGTGGCCGTAGCTTGCGGCGGGGCTCATTCCGGCGATGTCGGTCAGGTGATTGTCATTGAACACCACCCAGTCACTGAAGGAGACCTCGCCGTCGAAGTCGATGTCGCCCGCGACGTAGGGAACGCCATCGTTGCCGATGTACTCGACAGACGCCGGGACGACGGTCCCGTCGCCGAGCGTCACAGTAAGCACCAAGTCCTCGTTCGGCGACGGAATCCAGCCTCCCGCCGCGCTGAGTTGGAAGCCCTGTTGATCGGCGAAGGTGGGGGCGGCGCCGATCGCGCCTTCTTCGAACACGAACGGGTCGCTGGGACCGGAGAGGATTTGCCAATCGCCGGTCGCATCGATCGAGCCGTCTCCGCCCGGAGACGCGTCGTAGTTGCCGGTCACGGGGGT